CCGGCCCTCTCACCCCCCCCCTCTCACCGTCTGCCACCGCTCTCCCTCCTCACCACCACTCTCTCTCCACGATCCACACCCTCTCCTCCTCACCCTCCACCACTCTCCTCCTTCCCCACGCACCCTCCTCCCTCCCCCTCACCCACTCTCCTCCTCCCACTCCCCCTCTCCTCCTCCCCCTCACTCACTCCCTCTCCCACGCACCCATCTCCCCTCCTCTCACCCACTCTCCTCCTCCCACCCACCTGCCACCCACTCTCCTCCTCGTCCCAAGTAGCTGGGATTACAGGCACCTGCCATCATGCCCGGGTAATTTTTGTATTTTTAGTAGAGGTGGGGTTTCACCATATTGGCCAGGCTAGTCTCAAACTCCTGACATCAGGTGATCCTCCCATCTCGGCCTCCCAAAGTGCTGGGATTACACGTGTGAGCCGCTGCACCTGGCCCAGACTGTGACCTTATTTTGAAGTAGGGTCCTGGCTGATATAATTAGATAATGAAGTCATAGTGGATTGGACTGGGCCCTAACTCCAACAGCTGGGGTCCCTATAAGAAAAGGAGATACACGAAGATACACCAAGGGAAGAAGGCCATGTGAAGGCCGAGGCAGAAATGAAAACGATGCTGCCATGTGCCAAGGGACACCAGGAGCCACTAGCAGCTCCTGCAACTCCACTAGCAGCTGGAAGAGGCAAGCGAAGATCCCTCTGGTGCCTGCAGAGAAGGTGTGGCCCTGCCTTGCCTTCACACACACCCCACCACCAACACACCATAGCCATTATCCACAGTCAGCATCTAAAAATACAAAAATGTTTAGTCTCCACTAAAAATACAAAAATTAGCCAGATGTGGTGGCATGCACCTGCAGTCCCAGCTACTTGGGAGGCTGAGGCAGGAGAATTGCTTGAACTTGTAAGGTGAAGGTTGCAGCGAGCCAAGATCACGCCACTGCACTCTAGCCTGGGCAACACAGCGAGACTCCATCTCAAAAGAAGAAAAAAAAAAAGAAACATAAAGCTACAAATAATTGCATTTGTGTTTGCCTGCCCCAAGCTTCAAACCACTCCCTGACTGCTGGGAGAGTTCCATCTAGCAAGAGAAAAGGAGGGTGGGAGCAGGGGCAGTGAGGGGAGGAGACACAGGCCTCCTCTGGCTGCAAGCAGGGAACTCCCCAGGCCCGGGGTGGATACAGCGAGGTCCAGCGCCGCGTGGCCGAGGGAGGTCAGGAACCAGGGTGTGGCCCGCAGCAGGTACTCGGGCTGCCGGTCGTGGGCCACAATGGCTGAGGCATAGAGGAGGCCAGCCAGGGCCGACAGGAGCCGAGTCCACAGGTGGATGGAAGGAAATGTCTTCCCCTGGCACTGGGCAGAGAGAGGGAGGGGCTGGGCAGGGAGGAGCAGCAGATCACAAGACCCAGGGCCCTCAGTGGCACAGCAGGTTGCCGGGCAAGCCCTCTGCCTGCAGCCAGTCGCCCAGGGCAATGCTTTTGTTAGACTTCCAGCTTTTGCTCGAGTTGCTTCTTCTGCCTATCAGACTCCTACTCATCCCTCAAAACCTGGCTTAAACTTAACTCTGAGAAACCTCCCCTTACCAGTTCAACCCTAAGGGGAGCGAGCAACTCCCTTTTCTGGGCCCTAACACGTCCCTCCAGCAGAGTACCTTTGACTGATCATGACTCAGCTCTTTACACAGTCAGAGGGCTCCTGAGGGCTGGGTGGGGGTCCTCGCCATCCCAGGACCCCAGCACCCGACCCTGGGCAGCGGCTCCCCAATGTCCGCTGGGGGAACGTGAGGGAGACTGGGATGGTTTGGACATTTGTCCCCCCAGATCTCACGCTGAGTCGTAATCCCCAGTGCTGGAGGTGGGGCCTGGCGGGAGGAGGTTGGATCATGAGGTGGATTTCTCATAAATGGTTTGGCACCATCCCCTGGGTGCTGGCCTCGCGAGAGTGAGTGAGTTCTCCTGAGATCTGGCTGTTTAAAAACGTGTGTGTGGCCCCTTCCCTTCCACCCTCTTTGCTCTCTCTGCCAGCTCACACTTTGCCTTCAGCCATGAGTAAAAGCTCCCTGAGGCCTCCCCAGAAGCCCGGCAGATGCTGGCGTCATGCTTGGGTGCCTGCAAAACCGTGAGCCAATTACATCTTTACAAGTGACCCGGCCCGAGGCAACGCAAGAACAGCCTAACACAGGGACCGAATCAGAAGAGCTGAGACCTGGCCCTTCTCTCCCTGGGATCACTGACTCTGACCCAGGTCACATGGGGAAGATCCAAAAAATGAGAGATGATGTTCTGGAAATTTTAAAGCCAAGAGGACATTTCTGAAGAATACGTAATAAAAATATTGGTTCAACACAAGGAAATATGCACTATTTATATTTATATGTAAGTAGCCTTTATATGCAGGAAGTCACTCTATGTATATGAATATGTATGTACACAAACACCATATATTTCTGATTATATACCTATAAATATATGAATTAAAATTAAATAGTTTATATATTAAACTATTTTATATATTAAACTATTATTAAATATTATTATTAAATAATATTATTAAATATATTAGTTTAATATATTTTATATATTAAACTATTATATATATAAACTCTAATGAGTTTAATATATAAACTATTTAATTTTAATTCATATATTTAAAATTATAATTCTTTTTACATACTTTAGTTTTATGTAAGTTAGACTATATATAGTTAAGTTGATATATAATTTAGTTTATATATATATAATTCAGTTTATATATAATACATATAAAATTTAGTTTGTATGAAATACATATATAAACTCATTACATGACTCATTACCTATGTTCATTTGATGACCATACTTACAGATACATAGACCTTGGCTAGGGAATGAGAAAAATTCCGGAGAAAAGGCATGTTGTGGCCAACTTCGCCCCACTTTAAATTTAACTCTCAAAAATAATCTGCGTCCCCTCTGGTTTGTCCCCAGGCCTCCCTGTGTCCGGCCTGCCCCCAGAAGACTGCGTAGCGGAGAGGGCACAGTGCCGCGCTTCGCTGGGGAGCAGCGGCTGGCAGGGTGAGCCCTGGTCCACTGCGTCCAGAGGCTGAGGGTGGAGACGGCGCCCTTTCCCTTCGGCCCTTCCTGCCTCACACAGGAAGCAGCACTGCTATGGCTAGAGGTGCCTGGACGCCCCCGCCCCGACCCAAGCACCCACCACCATGTTAGAGAGGACACTGACGGCCAGAGGGGAGGTGGCGGGCAGAGCGGGGCTGGGCCTTGCTCTCGCTGCTGCTCAGGATGAACTGCGCTGGGGAGCCCTCTGCCCTCGTTCCCCTGCTAAGCCAGTGACAGTGACCACTGTCCTCCAAAGCAGTCTCTTCCCAGGGTCAGTCCTGGGGCCGACCCTGAGAAAAATGGAGAGCTCTATTTACCTGCAGTGCCAGATATACAGTAGGTGCTTAACCATTGCTTGAAGAACGGAACTGGATTGTGACTGGACGAGACGTGGCAGTCCCTCTCCAGCCTAGGCAGGCCTTGCCTACAGACAGGACAGAGGCCGGTGGCATGCCCCAGCCTGGGCTGCCTGGCACATCCATGTAAGGGCTAGAGGCAGGACAGGCCTCGGATGGTCTCTGCAGCTGCCAGGACTCCTGGTGTCAGCACAAGGCTTCACTCATCAGTGGGCATTTCGTGCCCCTTGGCCCACTCAAGGACTCCCTCCTGGAGCAATGGGAACGCTGCCACCAAAGCAACCCAGCCATCTTCTCCTCAGCAACCTCACCACGGCCAAATTAGGAGCAGCTTCTGGGAGAGCCAGGGTCTGAAGCCATGCTGCCTGGCTTCCCAGAACACCCCAAACGCTGCTGGGTTTCTCCCTAGGAAGGGTACCCTAGCTCTGAGCTCTTCTTCCTGGAACCAGAGTCACAGAGAGGCGGCAGCAGCTCTGTACCTAGAAATACAGCATGTTTCCTTTCCCGAGTCCCTAGTGCAACTTCACTCTGTTGTCCTGCCCAGGGGCCCTCAGGCTTCAATACCTTGTAGTGATGGGGAGCTGACTACCTCCTAAGGCAGGGGTAATGCTGGCGGCTCTCCAGATGCCAGGCACCGTGCAGTGTCTTACCCTGAAGTTCTTCCTTTTACTCAACAGGAAGGGGCCAGGCGCGGTGGCTCCCGCCTGTAATCCCAGTACTTGGGAGGCCGAGGCAGGTGGACCACCTGAGGTCAGGAGTTCGAGACCAGCCTGGCCAACATGGAGAAACCCAATCTCTACTAAAAATACAAAAATAGCTGGGCGTGGTCGTGCACGCCTGTAGTCCCAGCTACACGGGAGGCTGAGGCAGAAGAATCACTTGAACCCAAGGAGCTACCCAAACCTGGGAGAGGATTGAGGCCTGGAACAGATCCTTCCCAGCGCCTGCAGGAGCATGGCCCTGCCGGCACCTTGATCTCAGACTTCTGACCTCTGGCACTGAGACAATACATTTCTGTTTTTGAAAGTTAGTGGCACTTTGTTATGACAGCCCTAGGGAGCTACTACCGGCGGTCAGGGCACAGTGCCAGCTTCTTCAAAGGCCTTCATGCAACCTAGTCTCTCAGCTCTGGCACCACTCTGGAGAGCCACCCCGGTGGGCTGTTGAGCTGAGCCCAGTGCTCGCCACTCTCCCCTCCGTTAATGTAAAGACAGGACACCTGCTGATGAGGCCCAGCCCCGCGAGGCTTCTGGCAGTCACAGCACAGAATGCAGCTTCACTGACTTCACCAACCACCATGAACTACCCTCCAGCCCTGAATGCTGTCCCCCGGAGCTGCTATTCAACCAAGATGCTCCTGGGCACGTAATTTTTTTTTTTTTTTTTTTTTGAGATGGAGTATTTCTCAGTCACCTAGGCTGGAGTGCAATGGCGTGATCTCGGCTCACTGCAACCTCCGCCCCCTGGGTTCAAGCGATTCTCCTGCCTCAGCCTCCAGAGTAGCTGGGATTACACGCACCCCCCACCACGCCTGGCTAATTTTTGTACTTTTAATAGAGATGGGGTTTCACCATGCTGGTCAGGCTGGTCTTGAATTCCTGACCTCAGGTGATCCGCCCGCCTCGGCCCCTCAAAGTGCTGGGATTACAGGCATGAGCCACCACACCCGGCCGATTCTTTTTAGACTAAATGGGCCTATGACATGTCATGGTGCTGGGTTTACCCACTGTTCCGTCAGTGAGACAGGAACAGTTGTCTCAGAGTCGTCTGCACAGAAGATTTGGCAGAGCAGCCGTCACACGTCCACAGTGTCTCGCCGTTTCTCAGGCGCTTTCACGCATGGGGGCTTTTCCTGTGCGCTCTCCTCTGCCGATGGCCTTTCCCTAGCCTGTGTCCTCAAATTCACGTTCCCTCCTGAGGCAACGTGATGTCTCCCCCGACCCCACAGTCTGGCAGTGTAAACAGTTTTCGCCCTTGCTCATTTGAAGAGCGTAGGAGCCTTCTCTCTCTCTCTGACACCCCAAACATTTGTTTCTGTCTTTCTTGGAGCGTTAGGAGATGCTGCTTCACATTCCTGTGTCTTCCATAAGACTGTGAGCTCCCCGAGGGCAAGCGCTCGGCCCTGCTCACACCTTATCCGCCACAGGACTGGCTGACACAGGGCCTCCCTCAATGTGGATGCCTGGAGAATGCCTGCCAATAAGACACTCTTTTTTTTTTGAGATGGAGTTTTGCTCTTGTTGCCCAGGCTGGAGTGCAATGGCATGATCTCGGCTCACTGCAACCTCTGCCTCCTGGGTTCAAGCGATTCTCCTGCCTCAGCCTCCAGAGTAGCTGGGATTACAAGCACACACCACCATGCCTGGCTAATTTTTGTATTTTAATAGAGACAGGGTTTCACTGTGTTGGCCAGGCTGGTCTCAAACTCCTGACCTCAAGTGATCCGCCCACCTCGGCCTCCCAAAGTGCTGGGATTACAGGCGTGAGCCACTGCGCCTGGCCTAAGACACTCTTGATCTACACAGAACCTCATACCTGACTGCCTGGAGTCTCTCCAATCTCATTCTCTCATGGGTTTAGCCAGCCTCAGGGGCTTCTTCCTCACAGCCTGCTTTTCATGTGCTATAGGAAATGGGAAAGAACCCACGGGTTTTCCCCGAGAGGCTCCCGCTGTCCTCAGGACGCCCTGGGCTGGCTGCCCCTCTCCACACACATCCCCTCCTTGCTGCCATACACACCAACGCTCTTCAGAAAAAGCTGAGTCCACGTGCATGCACACACGGTGACACCACACTCCCGTCCCATGACCCTCTCAGGATGCTCCCAGATGCCCCAAGACCTGCCATGTGACCCACAGTCCCAGCCCCACCCCAGCCTCACAATTCTGGAGAGAGGGGGGATCCGAGAAGCCCAGGAGCCAAAGGCGGCAATGCTACCCAGCAGGTAGCCGAGGATCTCAGTATTTTCCTGCAAGAACAGGTGATCCACCATTAGCACTCTGCAGACTGTCCATGTGCCCCAAGAAACAGACAAAGCTCAGGATTCCTTTTCTGCTTTCAGAGGTTTCTTCCAACAAAGGCAGGCTTAACCCCACTCCCCCAGCCCCCGCATCATCCCACCCCAGGCATTTGGCAGGACATGCAGTACCCGGAGTCCTCCCCAGGGTGGCCCAGCCTCACCTGCAGCAGGCTCCCCAGCAGCCTCCGCTGTGGCCCCCGGATGGTGGCTGAAGCCTTTGGGGCAGCAACCCAGAGAGCCCAGCACGGGCCCAGGCTCAGCGGCAGGGCCAGGGCAAACACACTGGCCCTGAGCTGCCGCCTCCTCTTCCTTTCTCGGGCTTCCCGATCTGCAATAGACAACAAAATCCCACAGGGCTCCTGGAACCTAGACCTTGTCAGATAGCTGCGTGGGAAGAACTGGTGTCAGCTCCCCACACAACGCTAAAACGGGTTCCCAAGTTATTCTGCAGGCCAGCTCCTCCCCACCCTTCAGGGCCCTGTAGTTGTGCCACCTCTTCAAGCAGCCTTTCCTCTCCACCACCGATTGCACAACCCACCCCCATAACGTGCTGTTCTCCTTCCTTAGGCAGAGATGACATTATCTTCTCTCATATGCATCTGCATGTAGACAGCAGTGCCTCTTCTGGACTAGAGCTCTTAAGGATAAGGCACCATCCCCTGGTGGTTTCTCCAACCTCTGCAGAGCAGAACTGGTGCGAGCATGGTAAAAGCATCGACCAGTGAATCAGTGATGGCACCAGCGGGAACTGTGCGCAGGACAAACAGCAATGAGCAGTGTCTTTGTCCTTGAAATATAAGATAGGCACTCCTCTGAGCAATTCTGTTTATTTTTTCTTTTAGAGATGAGGTCTCACTAGGTTGCCCAGGCTGGACTTGAACTCCTGGGCTCAAGCGATCTCCCACGTTGGCCTCATGAGTGGCTGGGATTTCAGGTGTAAGCCACTGCCCAGCTCTCTCCTGAGAAACTCTAAAAAGAGCGTTTCTCTTCTGGGCAGCAGTGAGCCGCTGAGGGTGTGCTACACTACACACTGACGCAGCATCCCCTTGGGTTTACTGATTTATTTTTGAGACAGGGTCTCGCTCTGTCACCCAGGCTGGAGTGCAGTGGTGCAATCACCGCACACTGCAGCCTCCACCTCCTGGACTCAAGTGATCCTCCCACCTCAGCTTCCCAAGGAGCTGGGACCACAGGCATGTACCATCACGCCCAGCTGCTTTTTAAAATGTTTGTAGAGATAGGGTCTTGCTATGTTGCCCAGGCTCGCCTCAAACTTTTGGCCTCAAGCAATCTTCCCAACTCAGCCTCCCAAAGTGCTGGGATTACAGGTGTGAGCCACGGCACCACGTGGTTCATCCCCCTTTCTTTTTTGAGACGGTGTTTTGCTCTTGTCGCCCACATTGGAGTGCAGTGGTGCAGTCTGCAACCTCCAGTTCCCGGGTTTACACGATTCTCCTGCCTCAGCCTCCCAAGTAGCTGGGATCACAGGTGCATGCCACCATGTCCAGCTAAGTTTTGTATTTTTTTAGTAGGGATGGGGTTTCACCATGTTGGCCAGACTGGTCTTGAACTCCTGACCTCAAAATGATCTGCCTGTCTTGGCTTCCCAAAGCACTGGGATTACAGGGGTGAGCCACCACATCCGGTCCCTCATCCCCTTTTTGAACAAGGGCCCAAGCACACGGCTGACCCTTCTCAAGAAGCCCCAGCCGCAGATACCTGGGGCCACTCACCCTGGCCCAGCCATTTCCAACCCCTGCTGTGCCTGCTGTGCCTGCTGTGCCCCGTGCCCATTCCTGCCACCCACTTCCAGTAGCTGTGAAGCTTCGCCTGACCACCCCAAACCTGCACGCTAAGCTATCACTATTCATGCCCAAGCGCTGCTCCACGCCTCCTCCTAGCCTTTGCCCATGCTGCTGTGTGCCTGGAGTGCCCTGCCTGTGGCCCCAGCTCTAGTGGCCCGTGCTTCCTTGACACTGGCAGCCCTTCCCTCCCTCTGGCTGCCCACAGTGTGCACACACCCCCAAGCTGGCAGCCCTAATGCAGGGCGACAAGAGCAAAACTCCACCTCAAAAAAAAAAAAAAAAAAAAAGAGGGATGAACCACGTGGTGCCGTGGCTCATGCCTGTAATTCCAGCACTTTGGGAGGCTGAGTTGGGAAGATTGCTTGAGGCCAAAAGTTTGAGGCCAGTCTGGGCGACATAGCAAGACCCTATCTCTGCAAATATTTTAAAAAGTAGCTGGCAGCCTAAAAGAAGGATCTTCTCCTTCTTTTTTGGGGGGGGGGGTGTTATTTTTGTTTTTTTTGAGATGGAGTCTTGCTCTGTCAGCCCGGCTGGAGTGCAGTGGTGCGATCTCGGCTCACTGCAACCTCTGCCTTCCAGGTTGAAGCGATTCTCCTGCCTCAGGTTCCTGAGTAGCTGGGACTACAGGTGCCCGCCACCACGCCCGGCTAATTTTTCTATTTTTAGTAGAGACACGGGTTTCACCATGTTGGCCAGGATGGTCTCGATCTCCTGACCTCGTGATCCGCCCACCTCAGCCTCCCACAGTGCTGGGATTACAGGCGTGAGCCACCGTGCCTGGCCCTTCTCCTTTGTTTGTGCCTGGCTGGGACCCACTCAGGGAGTGATAAGGGGTAGGCATTCAGCATGCTGATGCATGAATGGGTGAATAGAGACAGGAAAAGACAGCCACACACTCACCTGAATTAGACTTGAATTTGGATCCACAGACTGGGAAGAGAATGAACATAAAGTTCACTAAGTCAACAGCTGCTAGGTAGGCACCAGTGAAAACCTGGGAGCAAACGGGAACAGAGTCTTGGCATTCAAGCATCTTTTCTCAGCCCCTACAGCGTCTGTCATCCGGGACCCTGTATCACGTGGGTTACACTGATGTGGTGCCTCCACGTGTATTCCTCCAGGGACACCTCCCGCCAACCCCGGAAAAGTCCATTATCATCTCCACTTGGCTGATGAGGAGATGAGGTGTTTATATGACCGAACCCAAGGTAGGCAGATGCCCACCAGTAGGGTTGGGGTAAGAGCCCAGCCCCCCAGCTCTATTCCACACACGTGCCACTGCATGAGGCAGTCTCTGCTGTGTACCTTTGGCCCACTGACCTTCTCTGGCCCTCAGTTTCCTCATCTGCAAAACAAGCATACTAACAGTGCCTCCGTCAAAGACTGTCAGGAGGGTTACTTGAGACAGTACATGGGCAGTGGTTAGACCAGTGTCTGGGGAAAGCAAACCACCTCTAAAGGCACCAGCTACTCTGACAGTAGAGTTGGCGGTGAAGAACTTGCATTGTGGAGTTTGAATCTCGGAATCTTGGCACTGCTACTTACTAGATGGGTGACCCTTAACCTCTCTATGCTTCAGTCTCCACGTCTGTAGAACAGAAATAATGAGGACACTCACGTCATAGGATGCTGGTATTCCAGGAGTCAATACCAAAAGGTCTGCAGTGCCAAGTATGTAGTTAAGTTTTTCATAAATATTATTATTGGACTTGAGCTGGGACCTATCGTATTCTTTTTTTTTTGAGATGAAGTCTTGCTGTTGTCCAGGCTGGAGTGCAGTGGTATGATCTCGGCTTACTGCAATCTCTGCCTCCGGGGTTCAAACGATTCTCCTGCCTCAGCCTCCTGAGTAGATGGGATTATAGGCGTGCGCCACCATGCCCAGCTAGGTTTCTCCATGTTGGTCAGGCTGGTCTCCTGACCTCAGGCGATCTGCCCGCCTCACCCTCCCAAAGCGCTGGGAGTGCAGGTGTGAGCCACTGCGCCCGGCTGGCCCTATTGTATTCTATTAGCTAATGAGAATGGGCATCCAAAATGAAAGGTGATTTGCTTTCGAGACAACACTGCCCGAAGCAGGGTCTAGAACGCTCCAAATCTGTGCTCTGCCTACTGAGCTGCCTTCCTTCATTTCTACCTGGACGGGCATAAGGCCAAGACCAATCCCATGAGGTGCCTCCACAGGGGGCACAACAGGTTTTCTGGGGGATATGTGTTTTGGGATAGGAGCCTTCCACACAGGCTTGTTTGAGGGCCTGGGCTTTTAGGAAACTTGAAACTACTTCTCACTTGCCCCAAAGCCTACACCACTACCTGGATTCAAGCTGTAAATTACTATTTATTGAGCACCTACTAGGTGCCAGGTGCTGTTTTAAGTGATGGGGATACAGCAGTGAACAAATCCTCGCCCTTGTAGAGCTGACATTCTTTTTTTTTTTTTTTTTTTTGAGATGCAGTCTCGCTCTGTCGCCCAGGCTGGAGTGCTGTGGCCGGATCTCAGCTCACTGCAAGTTCCGCCTCCCGGGTTCCCACCATTCTCCTGCCTCAGCCTCCCGAGTAGCTGGGACTACAGGCGCCCGCCACCGCGCCCGGCTAGTTTTTTGTATTTTTTAGTAGAGACGGGGTTTCACCGTGTTAGCCAGGATGGTCTCGATCTCCTGACCTCGTGATCCGCCCGTCTCGGCCTCCCAAAGTGCTGGGATTACAGGCTTGAGCCACCGCGCCCGGCCCGTAGAGCTGACATTCTAATGGGAGTTCACATACAAGAAGTAATAAACAGGTCAGGCGCGGTGGCTCAGGCCTGTAATCCTAGCACGTTGGGAGGCCAAGGCAGGCAGATTGTCCTGAGCCCAGGAGTTCGAGACCAACCTGGGCAACATGGTGAAACCCCGTCTCTATTAAAAATACAAAAAATTAGCCGGGTGTGGTGGCACATGCCTGTAATCCCAGTTACTTGGAGGCTGAGGCAGGAGAATTGCTTGAACCCAGGAGATGGAGGAGGCAGTGAGCCAAGACCACACCATCGCATTCCAGCCTGGGTGACAGAGCAAGATTCTGTCTCAAAAAAAAAAAAAAAAAGGAATACACATAGGTAAAGTATATAGTGTATTAGGGATTAAGCTATAGAAAAAAAACAGATTAGAATAAGGGAATCCAGAACACTGGTACAAGAGGTGGGTCACCATTATAAGCAGGGGAGGTCTTATTGAGAAGGTGACCTTTTTTTTGCTTGTTTGTTTTTCGAGACAGAGTCTTGCTCTGTCGCCCAGGCCATAGTGCAGTGGGGTGATCTCGGCTCACTGCAACCTCTGCCTCCCAGGTTCAAGTGATTCTCCCTGCCTCAGCCTCCCAAGTAGCTGGGATTATAGGCGTGCACCACATCTGGCTAATTTTTGTATTTTTAGTAGAGATAGGGTTTCACCATGTTGGCCAGGCTGGTCTCAAACTCCTGACCTCAAGTGATTCGCCCACCTCAGCCTCCCAAAGTGCTGGGATTGCAGTGTGAGCCACCGCTCCCGGCTATGAGAAGTGACTTTTGAGCAAAGACTTGAAGGACTAAGCAGGGAGCCAAGTGGATATCAGAACAAGAGCCTCTGAGGGGGGCAGAAAGAACAGCAAGGCACAGGCTCTGAGGTGACACTGTGCTATGCATGTTGAAGCAACAAGACAGAAGCCATGACGCTGCAGCAGAGAGAAAGGCCAGGCCTCTCCTAGTGCTGGCCCAAGCCACTGTCAGCTGTCGGCCCCACATACCTGGATTGTGAGCTGTCTGGCGAGAACAGCCCCGATGGTGTCACACAGACTGGTCAGGAGGCAGCACGCAGCACACAGCGCCGACTGGTCCTGTCTGGATTTCTTTGCACATCTCAGATAGAGAAGCCTGGGGTGACAGGGGTGTGGACAGGACACAGGAACCGTGAGTTTGGACCCAAACTCGTGCATCTGAAAAGGGAACTGTGACCCTGCACCCTCAGGGGCTGCTTTCTCCCCAGGGTATTTGGCAGGTGTTTTGAACTCAGTTTACAGATGGGAAACACTCAGAAGACTCCAGAGCCGCCTGTCCAGACACCCACGGCAGGAGCTAGACCTCATGAGATGTGAAGACACCGCCTCTTGGAATGAAAAGGAATTACTTTCCGACTCCAAATCAGGACGGCTCCGTTTGATGACCCCCCACTTAGCGCTGAAAAAGTAGCCATCATGTTTTATTTTTTGAAAAGGAAACAGGAGGGTTATAAAAGTAACTCAGGCTGGGTGCGGTGGCTCACACCTGCACTCTGGGAGGCCGAGGCGGGAGGATCATCTGAGGTCAGGAGTTCTAGACCATCCTGGCCAACATGGTGAAACGCTGTCTCTACTAAAAATACAAAAATTAGCCGGGTGTGGTGGCGAGAGCCTATAACCCCAGCTACTCGGGAGGCTGAGGCAGGAGAATTGCTTGAACCCAGAAGGTGGAGGTTGTAGTGAGCCGAGATCGTGCCATTGTACTCCCGCCTGGGCGACAAAGCGAGACTCCATCTCAAAAAAAAAAAAAAAAAAAAAGTAACCCAACCACTGCAGACAACTGCCGAGCAGAGTTAATTGCTTAATTAAAAAGACAACTTGTTTCTCTGAAATAAATTAAAGTGAAATTCTTCTAAACCATCTGTGAGGTGGGGCAGCCTGGCTTCTGCAGGCCTGTGTCCACGTTCTTTACCCAGAGTCCTTTTGGCACTTTGGGCTGTCCCTCCCTCAGTGCCCCCACTGTCGCTTCTCCCCTTACAGCCCCTCCCCAGTCCATATCCACGGAGAAGATGCACGGCAGGGCAGGAAGGGGCTGGCCGTTTCTATCAGCGTCACTGGTAGGGCCTCTGAAACGTGTCGTACATGCCTCCTTGCTACACTTCGCTGGAGACACTGAGGCAGGGCGGCAGCTCCGGCTTCACTGCCGTTCACTGGAGGGTGGCACTCACTCCACATCCTTAGAACTGTTTGGCGGATTCTGAGCGCCTGTCCTTGGGAATGGTGGATGAGGACAGAAGCCTGGCTTCCTAGACATTTCCTGACCTGCTGGCCCAAGCCTGAAGCTCACGGTGGCAACACCAACTTTAATCTGGGTCCTGGGCTCCTAAAACCAATTCATGACCAAGGAGTGAAGATTCTTAAGTTGGAGACTCCCAGAGGCGGACCCAAATTAGAAATAATTTATATCAACCCTCCCATTTGAGAGGACAAAACAGAGGCGTCTGGTGAGAAGGTGAGTTAATGGTGGTTTTCTGACTTCCCACGCAGGGCCTTTGCTCCGCACCCTGTTCTCAGCCACTTCCCCAGCTCCTGGGGCTAGGGTTCCAGCTGACCTTAACCCAGCCCACACACCGCTCCGAACACACATTCTCCAAAGAGAAAGGGGAGGGGGGAGATTCAGTGATGGCAAGGCCCTGAAAACAAATGGGTATGTCCAGATCCAGGCAGGGTGAGAAGCAGAGGCTCGCTCTTAACCCCCGCCAGGTTGGCAAAGTGCCTAACAGTGCTGGTCTGAGGACGGCTGTGAGGAACAAATGGCTAATGCGTGTCCAGTGCCTTGTTAGTTTCCAGCCTCTGATCTGGACAGTTTAATCTCTTTTACCAGCCTGCCCCTTTTCACTGGGATCTGGGGTTTTGGTTCTTTCTTTTCGCTCAGACAAGTTATTTAACCTCTTAGAACCTCGGGGCTCACTACTGAAAGTGGGGGTAACAGTACCTACCTCCTGGTGCTGATATTCTGAGGCAGGCATTGAAAGAGTTAATGAATGCAACACTGGGCCCACAGTAAATATTCTAGGCGTCTTTTTATTTGTATTCCAGTCACTGGGTAGTGGGGCTGCAGAGTCTCTGCAATACGACCAAATGCCTTAGGAGAATATCCACTGAGCGCCTACGGGGAGACAGTTCTAACCTCTCCCGGGGTGCTGGTCCTTTCTCCCCTGCCAGGGAATGCTTGAGCGGCACCATCCTGGGCACTGCTAGTGGATTTCCATGCCTAGGACAGAGCGGCTGAGGACCTGGAGATTCACTCTTAGAACTTAGGCTACGGTGGGCATCTGGACAAACCAGTTCAGGTGCTGGACAGACCAGGGCAAAGACAGGCCAGCTGGATCATCATTACGTCCGTTCCCGCCTAGAAGGACTTTGGGTAAACTGAGGCCAGAAACATCAAGGGACTTGCCAAGGTCCCTTAAGAGTTGGTGACCTAGCTGGAGCAATACAAATGATGTTTAATGAGCATTTACTAAGTGCTTTAACGGTACTGATTCATTGAATCCTCCCCCATCCTATGAGGTATTATCACCGGTCATAGGAGGCCCAGAGAGGTTCTGGAGCTTGCCCAGGTCACACCGCGAGTCAATGGGGAAAGGCTGACAACAGCATTCATGCTCGCGGTGTCCTGCGGCCCCATCCGCTGCACCACCCAGCCTCCTCCCTTTGGCTTTCAGCCCAGCTTCCCCGTGCGTGGGATCTGGAAAGAAGTATCCCACTTCAGTGTACACAGCAATGTTCCATTGGATCCTATCACTCAGCCATCTCCTTCATCCCCCTTTCCACCCCCTCCTCTAGGTTTCCGAGAGGGAGTAGCAGGGGCGTGGCGCCCGTTTCCCCTCCCGACAGCCCCCAGACCCCGGCCCCATTACAGCACGTGGGCGGCGATCCAGCAGGAGGAGGCGCAGATCCACAGGCCGAAGGAGATGCAGACGCGGTGGCGGGCGAAGCAGCGGTCCAGGTAGTCCCAGTCCCAGAGCGCGGGCGCGGGGCTGGGCGCCTCCCCCATGGCGCGGCTGGGCGCTCTCCGCGGGGCCGGTGACCTGGGCGCAGCCTCCCTCGCCGCGGGCAGCCCCGAGCGCCGCCTTCTCTGGGTTCCGTTCCGCCGCGGCGGCTCCGGCCGAGCGCACCGACCGCAGGCAGAGAAAAGCGCGCTCCCGGGCGCGGGCGGCGGCGGCGAAGGCGCCGGAGAAAAGTTTCCGGGACCGCGCGCTCCCCACCCCTTGCGCTATTGTCGGGGGTCGGCGGGGCGGAGGCCGCCCCCCAGCGGCGGGAGCTGGGAGCTTCCCGGGCACAAAGACGGCGGCCCCCGCCCCCCGGCCCGCGGCGGCGCCCGCTCCCCGCCGACCTCTTCGCGGTCACCCACCTCCAACATCCTGGCCAGAGCGGGGCGGGCGGCTGGGCTCGTGGAGGGCCGTGTCCCTGCCGGTCGCTGTAAGGCACGGCGTACCTTCCTGCATATTCCGCACATTTCCTGAGCCATCAGCAATTAGTTGCGCTGCTGAAGCCCATGGGTGCTGGGATCCCAAGGTGAAGGGGGCCTGGTCCTGATCCCGGACAGGGCGCAGTAAAAAGGGGGGGCGGGGTGCAAGGCCAGGAAGGAAGAAACAAACGTGCTGGAGAACAAATACCCCCACATCTGCGTCTCACTCTCCTTTCTGAAGCTGTCAGTGGTACCCTCCGCCCCCAGGCAGTCGCCCAAGCCCGGCTTCTGGTGTCATCCTAACCCACAGCCCTGGCAGCCAAGGAGCTTGTTTTCTCTGGAACCAGCCGCCACCTGTCCAGCCAGATGCCTCACAGTTCAAGCACACAGGGCTGTTTTTCTTGAGAGCAAACTATCATTGTAATTTTTAAATCTCCTCATTGATCTTAGTAACTTTGTTTAAAGCAAGACATGACTTGAAAAAAATATTTCTACAGAAGGTGCAGATTTGAGAAAAAATCATTTTTTTTATTTTTAAAAAACTACAAAACTGCAGCTTTATTGAGATATTATTTATATGCCATAAACATAATCTTTTTTTTTTTTTTGAGACAGAGTCTCTCTCTGTTGCCCAGGCTGGAGTGCAATGGCCGGTCTTGGCTCACTGCAACCTCCATCTCCCAGGTTCAAGCAATTCTCCTGCCTCAACCTCCCAAGTAGCTGGGACTACAGGCACGTGCCACCACACCTGACTACTTTTTGTGTTTTTAGTAGAGGTGGGGTTTCATCATGTTGGGCAAGCCGGTCTTGAACTCCTGACCTCGTGATCCACCCGCCTCAGCCTCTTAAAGTGATTACAGGCGTGAGTCACCATGTCCAGCCAACATAGTCCTTTTAAAACAATTCTGGCCAGGCACGGTGGCTCACACCTGTAGTCCCTGCACTTTGGGAGGCTGAGGTGGGCGGATCACTTGAGGTCAGGAGTTTAAGACTGGCCTGGCCAACATGGTGAAACCTCATCTCTACTAAAAACAAAAAAGTTAGCCGGGCATGGTGGCGTGTGCCTGTAATTCCAGCTACCACAGGAGAATCGCTTGAACCCGGGAGGTGGAGATTGCTGTGAGCTGAGATGGCGCCACTGCACTCCAGCCTGGGTGACAGAGCAAGACTCCATCTCAAAACAAAACAAAAAATAAAACGTACAACTCAGCAGTTTTTAGTGTATGCATAGCGTTGTGCAACCAACATCATTATCTACTTTTAGAACATTTTCATCACCCCCACCTGAAAATAAACCCTGCCCACCGGCAGTTACTCTCCACTCCCCTCAACACTCCCAGCCCAGGAATCGCAGATCTACCTTCTGTCTCTATGGATTTGCCCATTTTGGATATTCCACATCAGTGCAATCATCCACTATGTGACCTTTCTGTGCCTTTCACTTCGCATGTTTTCAAGGTTCCTTCATGTTGCTGCATGTATCAGTACTTCATTCCTGCTTATGGCTCATAATACATTGTATGAGTATTTTTATATCACATGTCGTTTATCCATTCATCAGTTGGACATCTGGGTTGCTTTGACCTTTGGGCTATTATGAATAATGCTGCTCTGAACATTTGTATACAGTTTTTGTGTGGACATGGGTTTCATGTTCTCTTGGGTATATACCTAGGAGTGTCCTTGCTGGGGTCTATGGTAACTGTGTTTAACGTTTTGAGGAATTGCCAGACTATTTTCCAAAGTGGCTACACTATTTTAGTGGTACATTGTGTTTTCAAAGTTAAGATGTGGCCTGGTAAGGAGGCTCATGCCTGTAATCCTAGTACTCTGGGAGGCCAAGGTGGGAGGATCAGTGGAGCCCAGGAGTTGGAGACCAGCCTAGACAACATAGGGACCCCTATGTTTTTGGGACCCTAGTCTCTCAAAACAAAACAAAGTTGTAACCACTCAGGAGAAATTAAACCTAATCACTAATTTGATGATATCAGATTGGTGCAAAACTAATTGTGGTTTTGGCTATCAAAAGTACTTTGGTGCAGGCCAGAAGCAGTGGCTGACGCCTGTAATCCCAGCACTTTGGGAGGCTGAGGCGGGTGGATCACTTGAGGTCAGGAGTTCCAGACCAGCCTGGGCAACATGGTGAAACCCTGTCTCTACTAAAAATACAAAAATTAGCCAGGTGTGGTGGCAGGCACCTATAATCCCAGCTACTTGGGAGGCGGAGGCAGGAGAATCTCTTGCACCTAGGAGGCAGAGGTTGCAGTGAGCCAAGATCACGTTACTGCACTCCAGCCTGGGCAACAGAGCAATTCTGTCTCAAAAAAACAAAAAACAACAAATAAAAGTACTTTGGTGCAAAAGTAATTGCGGTTTTGGCCATTAAAAGTAAGCTACTTTTTTTTGGCCATTAAAAAGTAGAGACAGGGTTTCATCATGTTGGCCAGGCTGGTCTTGAACTCCTGACCGCAAGTGATCCACCCACCTCGGCCTCCCAAAGTGCTAGGATTACAGGTGTAAGCCACCATGCCTGGCCAGATATGCTGATTTTTAAACAAGCCATAAAAATATGACATGCACTACAGTAGGGGCATGTTTAAAGTACATTGACGACACCCCGCATTGTGGGCGGGCGTGTGTGGGGGAAGGTTTTCAATAAATAACGCTGGAGAATGTTTGCTTTTGGCAACAAGGCCATGGCCGCAGCTCTGCAGAGGCCCTTGGAAGCGGCAAGAGATGGTATAGGGAGAAAGGCAAATAGCACAGGCAGGGCAGCACCCACAGCAGGGAGGTGAGACGGTCAGCGTTCAGTCGCGAGGGAGTCGGGACTTCATCCTGCAGCGCACACTTTGGACGGTATCTTCTAACCACCTCCCTCCGGGTCATCAGAACCCTGCCCAGGTTCTCCCTGTACTTTCCACAGGGCTGTGCACGTGGTCGGCCCTCAGGAAATGAATCAGTTCCTTAACCAGGCTCCTCAGAGGTCCAGCAGCTGCCCAGGAGCTAAAGATAATGTTTTTGGCCATGGTTCAGAGTTAGCCAAAAAGAAAAACTAACAAGAGGACCAGAGCACTTGCCCTCCTGGACGCTAGGCAGTGATGTGACTGCTCAAAGGCATTTCCTGTTGGCAGAGGTGGCAGGACCTCAGGCACCGTCCTTCTGAAGGAAGGGCTGCAGCGGCCTGGGCGGCCCTACGGGAGTGGGCAGCCAATGGTGACCGTAAATCCCAGCCACCTCGGGGAGACAGGCCAGCAGCTCAACAGCTTTCTCTTCCGGGAGGGCACGTTGCTTGAATCTGGGAGAGGGAGGTTCTAGTGAGACAAGATCACACGACTGCACTCCAGCCTGGGCGACAGAGTGAGACTCCGTTTCAGAAAAAAAGAACAGAAATACCAGAGACGGTAATTTATAAAGAAAAGATGTTTAATTGGCTCACTGTCCTATAGATTGTATAGGAAGCACAGCGGCTTTTACTTCTAGGGAGACCTCAGGAAACTCACAATCATGTTAGAAGGCGAAGGAGAAGCAGGCACATCTTATATGGCCAGAGCAGGAGGGAGACAGAGGGGAGGTGCCACACACTTCAAAGCAATCAGATGTGACGAAGACTCAGTATCACGGAGAACAGCACCGAGGGGGTGGTGCTAAACCATTTGTGAGGACTCTGCCCCAAAATCCAGTCACCTCCCACCAGGCCCCACCTCCCACCAGGGGGCTTACATTTCCACATGAGACTTGGGGAGGACACAGATCCAAACCCTATCAAGAGTGCTTTTGTGCTTTTGATTATATTTTGTAACTATGTTATTTAATTTACATACCATACAATTCACCAATGTAAAGTGTGTAATTCAGTGGTCTTAAGCATATTCACAGAGTTGTGTGACCATTGCTACAATCAATTTTAGGACATTTTTATCACTGCAAAAGGAAGGCCTCAATCTTCCCATTCCTCCCATCCCTAAGCAACCACAAGTCTACTTTCTCTATATGGAGATTTGCTTATTCTGGACATTTTAAATAAGTGGAATAGCCAGAGAAGATGGGGGCTAGGTAGTAAATACCGCAGCTGCCCTGTCACCCGGTGAGTACATTCTACATGTTCCTCAGTGGAAGTGAGCCCCTGCTGCGCACTAACCGAACCCAAGTCCCTTGTTTAGAGTCGGAGGAACCCAACTAGGACACTCACAATGGGGAGTTTCTGTTTCACCTTTGTCCCAAATGTGTCTCATGAACCATCCCTTGCAATTCTTTTTCTTGTGATATAGTCTCACTCTGTCACCCAGGCTGGAGTGCAGTGGCGCGATCTCCGTCCACTGCAAACTCTGCCTCCCAGGTTCAAGCGATTCTCCTGCCTCAGCCTCCCGAGTAGATGGGACTACAGGTGCCTGCCACCACACCCGGCTAATTGTTTTGTATTTGTAGTACAGATGGGGCTTCACCGTGTTGGTGCATGAGCCACTGCGCCTGGCCAGGAGGAGGTTTCTAGGGCTCCCAGATGACTCCTTCTCGTCAGAGCTGGTGTTTCCAGGAGGCCCTTGGTCTTGACTTGGAGACTGCTGGGTGCAGCTGTGCCCGCAAGAGCAGGGCCCATTCTACAGGGCCAGTGTCTTGCGACAGTTCCACAGGCAACAGGCAGCTTCTGCTCTTTTCCATCTGCACAATGCAGCCCAACCTCACAGATCCAGGTGCTTGTAGAGTCTGCGACTTTTTTCTTTTTTATTTCTGTTGCCATGTTTTTTCCAGGGCTTTCCCGCCCCATTCTCAGAGCT